GCAAGTGCTGGGCAAGCCTCGTCCCAGCTGTGCAGCCCCACGGCACAGAACGATTACCGTGGGTTGTGTCTTTGGGGAATTTATCTGCCCAACTCCGGTGGTTTTCCCCCAAGTATCACATAATGTCCCCTGCCAAGCATCAAGGCCTTACAAGGATCTCCCCAGACTTTCTTAGAAGTTGTATGAATGTTTTCTGGGGTTTTTTTGTATGTAAGCAAACATAAAACACGAGGCTGGCATCCAGCTGGGTAACTTCAGCCAAAACAAGCCTGGCAGTGCTGTGATCTGGAGATGGGGTCCTATAATGGGAAATGTTTGACAAGTGTAGTGAGCGGTGCTGCTGCCAGTGCCTTGCACACAGCGCACAGTGTTGGATAGAAATGGGGTTTTTCTGTCCCTATTATTATTTTGGCTTAATCTCTCCAAAGTCTTATTTCCCTCACCAAGTCCCAGGGGCTCTGAGTTTGGAACAAGAGACATATTAGACAAAACTTCCACAAACCAGGAACATAATGGCTCCTTGGGGTTCTCACTCGACAGTTTGGGAAGTTTAGCAATATCAACAGTCCCCGAAGTGGAGAGGCTGCTCTTCAATGTAATCGTGAAACAGATCCTTCAAGCCTTTCCCAGCCAGTGATGGGTGGCTCCTTGGCTGCTCAACAGACAGGCTGGCCTCAGTTCAAGAACGTTCAGATTACAGCGTTAAAAAACTGGTGTCTCTGGACTCGAGGAATACACAACACTATATATCAGAAAACGTAAGTATCCATTTATCTTGATAATAAATACTTTCTCTCTTCAATGTCTCAAAAGGAACAGGTTTTCTATCAACAAACGATGAGAAAGCAATACTCTGTATGCATCCCCCTGGAGCCAAGAGAGTCTTTCGGCGTACTTTTTGCATTAATATGTTCTAAGGGAATCCAAAACATCCCTCTCTGGAGGATCAAATGTCAGACCAACGTTTCCTGCTGCCTGTACATCTAATCAGTAAAGTTCACCCCATCAGCACCTTTTTTAAGACCCTGATCTCATCAGCTTCTGCTTTTGACATTGTTTGCTATATTATTACTATTTTGTAGTAGGGAAAAGATTTTTTGCTGCTCCATTTTCTCACACGCTCCCACGCTCAAATTCACAAAAGAAAGAGAAACAGACAAAAATACAAATGGTAGTTGCTTCATGAAGCCCAGAAGCAGTGAGAAAGAAGTGATTAGCAGAATGTGTTGTATTAACATGGCACCAAGATGCATAGCCTTGAGAATGGGATCTGGAACCAAGTTGTGTTGTATTAACATGGCACCAAGATGCAGAGCCTTGAGAATGGGATCTGGAACCAAACGGGGTGTGTTGCCAGTGACAAATGTTCTGTCACGTAAGGAAAGATTGCTGCTTTCCTGAGCACGCAGATCTAGTCCTTCAAAAGTGTTTCTGAGAAGCATTATAAGTGCTAAATCCAACTTCTCTCCCTACTTCCTGAGAGTGCTTGGAGAATTTAATACAGCAAATGAGAAAGATGTATAGAATTAAACCTGTAAATTGTTAATGAGGCCCTAAAGCAGCCACCCACCAACTCCCACAGCCACAAAGCCACAAAGACGCAGAAGTGGAAAATCCTGGAAGCCGCATTTTGTTGACTAGTTCAACAACATATGCTGTTAGCCATCATCCTCTTGGTGCAAACCCCATGGGACGGTAAAATCTCACAGGACACACTTCGTACAACTTGTTGTGCTTCTGGGAGTGTCTGCACTGGGTGGGAGGAAGCAGGAGGAAAGACATATTGCAAGTAAAGAAAGAACCGGGCTCTGAAGATGGCAGATCCAAGGAAGAACCTAAGAACCTTAGAACCTCCTCCTGTTCAACTCACTGCTCCCCTTGCATATCCCACAGGCAACCAAGCCCTAAGGGACCTGAGCTGCTGTTAATAAGCCTACCCCAGGAAGGGATAAAAGCTGCAGCTCATCCAGCAGCGCTAAAATCCAAGTGGATTTGCACTTGTGTAAACCCAGAGAGAATTCTCTCCTTCCAACATGTTGGTATATTCAATACATACGTGCAGTCTCAAGCCTCAAAATCAGCAAGTAAAATTCCTGATGTCAAAGAAAGACTATCCATGGTGTGACATAAAATGACTGTTGTCTAGCAATCCCATCTCTCTTGCTGGTTTACAGCCCACTCATGTCTCACTTCCCAAATCATTCCAACCACGAAGAGTTAAATATATAGCATGAAAAAATATTTTTTTTCTTCCTCTGTGTACTGAATTACCAGCTTTTCATTAAAACCCTGGAGAGACCCTTTATATTTAAAATCTCAACATTTACAAGCTGACTGCTTTTACTTATAATTTCAGTTTCTTTCCCCGGAATATTTGATCTCTCTCTTCAATTTTCAGTTATGCTTCTTTCAAACATCAATTGTTAACTCTAGGGTCTCTCTGGGGACAGAGCAGCCAACAACATAGTTTTCAGGAAAGTCTCTCTGTGCCACTAAAAATGCGGAGAAGAAACTCCAAGCCTTAAGGAACAGGGCAGAAGTGGGCCAGAATACACAACAACAGATGCTGAGCAGTCCCAGTGCTGTGGTTCTTCTTTAGGGTCTCTGCTGCGTCCTAAAAGACCTCTAAAAACTTCCTGCTCTATTCTGATACTCTTATATCTCTTTAGTGATTTTTTAGCTTCACACAGAACGAGAAAACTTCTGATAAAATACAAGTAAGGAAGAGTACAGCAAAACAACTCAGATCCTCAGACATTTTGGCATGCAGAAGATAAGGGGAGGTGAAAGCAATATTTTTATGTTAGTCACTTTATCAATCACTTCTTAGGGGCAGTGCCAGAATGGACTGACAGGCCCTGGATAATATTTGAATTGCTTCCCGTAAGCTTTAGGTCCAGTACTCTTTAGGAAAAAACCCTTTTCTTTGTCTCCACCGAATGCCAGCTGAGGGTAAGGTAAAGTTCTTACTTAAGTTTCTGAAAAGTTTTGCCTGCTTTGTCATTCGAAACGGAATAACATCGTCACCACCTTTGCCTTGACTGGCCAAGCTAGAGAGACTCCAACTCTCCAGCTAGAGAGAGATTTTCTGTACGCAGCTTCCTCCAAAAATGATGGGCATCAATGTTCTCCCATGTTGCTGCCTGATATCCACCAGAATCTCACACTTGGTACTTTTTGACTACAAGCAGGTGTGTGATCAAACGAAGGCAGCATTTGCTGTACTAATCTACAGGAACGTATACGTCCCTCTCAGCCCTGTGTCCACAGGTATAAGGTCCACATCAGTTGCATGATGAACTTCAGGGTCCTCCATGTATTAAAATAAAAAGTCACATCACTTGTACGCATTAAAATCCAGCAAGTTTGCCAAGAGACTAATTGTCAGATAGAGGAAAAATGCCAGGAAATTCAGTACAGCTAAACGGAGTGGAGACCTGTGAGACTCGGCAAACCCCAAGAGAGCTAATTATTACATTATTGATAAAGTTGAGGACTTCTAAAATGCTTGGACTTGCTTTCTTGACACGAAGGATTAAAGGTTAGGGCAATTTGCTCTCTCTGGTGCAACCCCTGATGCAAGCAAATCTGTTGCAATCCATGGGAATGACGCCTGAGCAAGGACAGGACACTGAACTGGTCTCTGTGTCCTACGTACAGTCCCGCTTTAACGCCTGCCTGAGCCACTGAATTTCCCCTGGCTTCTCCCTCCTCCTCCCTCCTGAAAGGGAAACAGTAGAGAGCTTTTGACAATACTGAGCTGAGCTTTGAGCTTTCTGTCCCGTGTGAGGGCAGTGTCTAAGGGTGCAGAGAATATTCCAAGGAACTGTAATTCAGGGACAATGTTTTTGTCTCTTCTCCCACACAGAAGTGTAACAAGCAGTCACTGCATGGTTTGCTGCTGTTTGTTTAACTCTGTGATGGTAGCTACCAGGCGTAGACTGGTGGCCTGGCTGTGTAAGTACCATGTATACATAACAAAGGTGGTCCCAGTTCCAGAATTATTAGAGCCTCATGACAAGAAATGGCAGATATGTATCACAAGCACACAGGGAAGGCTTCTGCTGGGACAGCGAACAATTAATTTCCTCCTCCAAACTCTAAATGAGGGATGAGTGTGAACAAAGTACGCACCGTCCATCCAGCAGGACAGGAGCACTCTCCGGTGATGTGGTGGCAGACTCCCCCGTTCTGGCAAGGGCAGCGCAGCTCACACTGAGCTCCGTGGCTGCCCGGGGGACAGCGCTCCTCACAACTTTGTGGAGAGAGAAGAAACAAAAAACCAAAGAGATCATTTAAAAGAACTTACAGGAAACAGTAAATGAGGAAAATCTACATCACAACATCATGGGAGTCCTTATGCAAATTCTGAAACCTCAGTAAGCCTTGGCTGGCATTACCAATTAGCCAAGATGTCTTTTGTTTCTGCTGGGGTTATTTATGTGCCATGGATCCAGTCCTCTAAGGCTGATGCATGTGTGTAATCTTTATGCACGTACCAAATTCCACCCATCTCAACAGGACAGCTCATATCCATTAAAATAGCCCAGGAAAGTAAAGAGTTCTGTAATGAAACCCTCAATGTGAATTATGCGGCATGGCAGTAAAAGAAGCTGCAGATAGAATAAAGGGATGGGATTAAAATGCTTGAAATTTCTCCAGTCACTACTAAATGTTAACATTTGCAGTGTATAATGGACTGGCAAGAACTCAGCATCATTTAAAGGCTATTTAAGCTCGTTGGGTCTCTCTCAGTACCCATGGGGTAAGGGCAGCGTAAGGCTAGTCCCTGCAGAAAGCTGCATCTCCTACCTTTTTTTGCACATTGGTGCTTTTCAGCATTGCTTCTTCTGAAACTACAGCATGTTCTTCCCCTAACTGAATATCCTCTGATGAGGATGTTCATACAACACATCAGTGGTTGGCCCTGCAAGTACTTACTGCTGAGAAATGACATTCTAATGTCAATGGGAGCACTCCTAACAGTAAGCAGAGTCTTTAACAACGAGTGCTTCTAGGACTGAGGTCACAAGTCTATGAGGAAATCAGGTACTAAATAAAATATTCAAAAGGCATATCACTTATTTATGAAGGTTAATATTGTCTTTATTTTTTACCTTCCCCTTCATGCAGGTCAACAAATAATATTAGACTGCAAAAGTATTAAGTCACCTGTAATAGATCTCCACCCAAATTTAGTGACTAAATTCTCTTTTCCCCTTAAATAATTTTGAAAAACATAATTACTTCTGAAACTATGGAAAGATCTCTAATGAGAACTGATGTTACACTGTGGGCAATTTTAAACAAGGAACTATTGCTTGCTGTCCTAAAATTAATATGCAGATTCTGTGAATCCTACTGGTAAACTTTCAATGTGCTGGATGGGGATTTAACCACATGATTCTCGTTAAAGTTAATAGGAGTCACACCGCTAAATCCCTGCTCACCATGCTAAGAATTTACCCCCTAGACAGTAAGCTGATACAGTTAACAGTAATGCTTCCTCAGTTAGACTGAAAGTCAAATAAATTGGGGATGGTAAGTCCCATTCGATACCGCACTGGACTGATAATGTGTTGAATGTCCAATTGTTTATAAAAACTCAAATTTAATTTGGATTGTATTCACATACTGAAATTAGGAACAGGTACAGTTGTGGTACAAGCTCGAAAGTATAATGGATTTTTAAGTTCACTTCAGCACTGCGTTTTATTTTATTATGCATACAGGCATAATAAGCAGTAAAAGAGATTTCTGTTATTTGTTCTCTCTGAAATTTTGTTACCTGATTTCTACAAAGGAAAGTGTGTAATATAGAGATGATTGTGTAAATTTTGACAACTACTCATAGCATTAAAAGCGGTCAAAGGCTGTTAAAGGATGCAGAGTAAAATACACCTACGACTGAACTTACAATACCCCTGTGTATCCGGGAGCACAGTGACATTCTCCGGTTTTATGGTCGCAGGTAGCTCCGTTGTGACACTGGCATTCAAACTGGCAGCCCTTGCCGTAGCTCCCAGGGTCACAGAGCTCTTCGCAGCGCCATCCTTGGTACCCATCTGCGCAGACGCAGGCGCCCGTGATGGGGTTGCAGAGGGCCTCGTTCTGACACTGGCAGCGGTTGCTGCAGTGGGGTCCCCAGTGCTCGCTGTCGCAGCCTGGAAAACACACAGGCGTTGACCAAGGTGATTAGGAAAGTGCATCACAAGCATCTCATCTCAGCGTCGTACGCTTAGGCTGGCAAGCAGGCACTGTAAATACCCGGAACTTTCTAAAGAGCCCTTAAACTTTCTAAAACTACCCCCCCAACCCAGCAATGTGCTTCAGCGTGCAAGGAGACAACAGCACTAGTGACAGCCCTGAAGTTGAGGGCTTGTTTAACACCCTTATTGGATCAGAACCTACATCTTTTGATATCCTGTTTCTTAGTGCTCTTAGATAGCTGGAATGAATTTATAGTGGAATTAGACACAGAGGATCACATCCTGCCTGCGGTGCAGTTAATGGCAGGTAGTATTGCCAAGCAAATCCTGGAGATTTAATAATGTCATCAAACATTGTTGCTTTGCACTGTTCCCATAAGATAATAAATACGATAATCTAAAGAAGGTTTTCTTCTTTGGTGGTTTTTTTGGGGGGGGGCTTTTATTTTTTTTTCTGGAGTGAAAAGACGGTAGGGATGAAAATAACACTGGAGACGGGACTCCATGAGGCTGAGCAGGCGCAGGGATGAAGGGATGGAGTGTGTCAGCATTACAGAACCAGCTTGATCCTGATTTGCAACAGAAGCAGCAATCAGCCCCTGGAAACCACCCATTTAAGATGTACACATACGAAACAGATTGCTCAAAGCAAGCACCAGAGGTCCCGGTGAGGCAGCAAAACCCCAAGGGTTTCCTCAGTAGTCCTACCCTCTGCTTAGCAGCCTTTCACTCCAGCTACATCCAGGGTGAAGGAAATGACCGTTCTACTCCAAACTCAGTCGCTGGGAAAAGCCCCGGTACAGAGGCAGTCACTGATCACCCTCCAGGTACAGCCGGTGGTGCTCAGAGAGCTGGTTTCAATTACACCACCACCAACTCTTCTGCCCGTGTACAAATCCACTGCCATGCGGGAAACCAGTCCGTAATCCCAGCAACAGAGCTGTCTTCACAAACTCCTTCATGTGCAAACACGGAGCCTCATCCCCAGGTGACACCCGCTGCTTCCCAGGCCTGGATCTCTGTTTCCAGACTTACAAGGTAAATGTAAAGCCCACGTAAGCCTGAAGCTCTTGTCCTAGAAACTTCATAGCCCTCTCCTTCCATGGTACCTGTCTATAAACTATATCCTCCAGGTAATTCTGGCAGTTTTTTTTGCCCTTCTCCTTGATCAGCCAGACCCATTGGTCAGTCTGAGGATATTCAGCAGAAAAAGAAGAGAGTGACTTCACCCAGCTAGCACTGCTGATGACCAATTCACAAACTTGTGTTTCTTGAGCAAATAAACCCATGAGAAGACAATTCCAGGGCCTCCAGAAGGTTCTGCAGGGTCTTACAGGATGCACGTGCAGAGAGAGACGGTTTCATGTCCTGCAGAAAGCAGAGCGGGCGACATACCCCTGCGCGTAATCCTGCTTGTGCCTCACACAAGATATGTTATTGCTTTGCCTCATTTTTCCCGCGGCTGTAAACAGGGATGATAGTTCCTCGCTAACACCGCTGGGAGCCGAGCAAACAAAATCTTACCCTTTATAAGCCTTAAATTATTACTGAGAATCTGTGGAAAGAGATGATCTATCTTTATTTCACGTAGACATTCGCTAAGACTCTGTAAGGTGCCTGGGGCAGGGAGCAAAGCTGCTGGAGCTGATGGAGCTTCCCAGCAATTTTTGCTCCAGAAACACTGATTTGTTTTCCACAGAACTTGAACACCAGGGGATGCAGTGAGGCACCCCCAAAAAGGGACAAATCTGACCCACATGAGCATAGCTGACAGCTCTGTGCATGGGGAAGTGGAATGACGGAACCCAACTTCGTCCTGCCTGCTTCAGGGACTGGATTCCTACCGTACCACACCTCACGTTACAGCCCCAACTGCCAGGCTGGGGGTTGCTCTGGGCTGATATCATTCCAGCTGCAATTAATTAGCTTCATATGAATAAATATCACTCATTAGAAGATGTGACTCATACCCTTGGTCTTCCATGTCTCAGGTGAGCGCTCCAGTCATCAGATTTGTCTGCTTGGGTGGTGTTTTTCACATTGAAAGGAAGTGAAGGAGAAAGAAAACCTTTTATAGGAAGGGAAAATCATTTCCTGTCATCAGCTCAAGCATCTTGTTTCATATTTACAGTGTCTGCCCCAAACACAAACCCTTTTATGTAAGTCAATCTTATTTGAGCACTTATTTACCACTGAGATTTGGCCACATGTTTGCGTTCTCCCTGTACCAAATTTCACTCCACAATCTAGCCAAAGGGAAGAGCCAATGCTGAAGAGCAGAAATTCCTCTAACCAGTTGTAAAATCAAAAAATCCCAAATCTGGATAATAAAAGAAGCCTGCAGTGACCAGAAAACCAGCTGGCAGTTAGACAGATTTTTTCAAGGGTTTCTAAGTAGAAGGCATCAGTGAGCACACATTGCAACGTTCAGTATGTTTAGCCCAAAGTAGCTAGCCAAAATGCTGTAATTATCTATGAAATAAAACAGCTTGGCATACCAGATAGCTCCCAAGAATGTGAATTTCATGGGGATTTATTAGGGAGAAGACATAAAAATGAGGATTAAAGTACATCTGAATGCTCATGGAAGACACAGAAAAAAACAGAATTACAAAAAGCTGGGGCTTGTACCGTGTCTCATTTACAATGCCTGATGCAGCCCTTGCACTTGTTACGCTCCTTTTCATGTTCCTGAAATTACAAGCAGGTTTTGACTGCAGTTCTCTAAATGGTTTGAAAGCCAAGTAACAGTGTGTGTGTATAACCAGGGTGAGCATCCTGCTGTCTGTCTGGTGATGGGATCATAGACACACCACGACACGTTGCCCTCCTCTAGATTTAAGTCTTTACCTCAGATGGGAAAGATTTTCTGCTTCTAGCTATCAGTTCGAGCCCTATATATGTCACAGTGAGCAGAGCCATTTCCTGCAGTATCAATTAACCCACTGCTGATTAATTGCAAAGGGAATTGAGTGAAATTCATTGGCAACGTGTTAGTGTAAAATTTGTGACAATGAAATACCATCCTCACCTGATTTACACTGCAGTAATCTCACGTGAAAACAAGATCTTTGTTGCTCAAAGTTTATCAATCCCTGTTGGGTTGCTGTTCCCCTTTCTTTAAGTCCCATATTGCAGGGACAGACTGTGGAGTTCCAAGGAAATCCTCTACCTGTGTGATTTCACTGGGACATTATGTGACATTCATATTGTGAGAACGCATAGATCTGCCCTCTGGTAACTTCTGAACCTTCACAAAGGTAGGCAGATACAAAGCTGATAAGCTAAATCCAAGTACTCATTCATACTGGAAATTCTAGTGAGCTCAACAGGACCACTCGTGTGTGAGACCACCCATAACTAGCTCATAACTAGCTCATAACTAGCTGTGGGACTGGGGTCTAGTAGTTCCTGCTGGAAAAGTAGAAAAGAGAAGAAACCAAAGGCTTCAGCAACCAACACATATTTTTTCTATGTACATCCATGCAGCAAATCCCGGCTGGTGTGTGACAGCAATTCCAGTTTCTGAGATCCAGGGCAAAGCAGCCTCAGAGCCACGGGAGCCCGCTGCACTCGAGGACTGTCAGCACCACTTCTCCTATGGGCACAAAGAGGCTGTTTGAAAATACAACACAAGCCTTGCCCAGGCTAATCCTGCTCTTGTTGATTGCCTCTGTGTGTTACCATAATAGAGATAAATAATAACAGCAACAACACGGGAACAGAGAGCTGATTAAAGCTCACACAAGAGCTACACTGTAAATGCATATGCCATTAAAAGTGTCAAAATGACACAGAGACTTTCACTATCCCATCAATAAGGAAAGCAACCTGAGAGCGGTGATGCCGGGGAGGTACAAATGCTCCCTTCAGTCGGCGGGTGTGGATGTCAATACCGTGAGAGACGAGTCTGACACAGCCAGCGCTCCCCCGGGAGATGCTCCATTAAAGGGAGCTGCCGTATCTCAGGTCACGTGCCGACATTCCCTGGCAAACGTGCTAACTTACTCACTTCTCCTCTGAAAATATGACTGGAGATTAATTGCCACCAGTAAAAATGAATGTAACTTTGTAAAGGATGATGCTGGGTGCCTAAGCGTAATTACACTTGTCTGCATACAGTGGTAGCACAGGTGAAAGATTCATCCCTCCGTGGCAAGCTTGTGCGATGCAGCAGAGCTGTTCTCTGCCTCTCTGCATCCCCACCCCGCAGCCTCGGTGGCTCGTTGCAGCGAGGGCTCATCACAGCAGGCTCTGCGTATCCGCCGCTACAGCCGTGCATGACATCCCGTTACCCATTCTGTCAAATACACAACGAGGACACATTGGGGGTGCTGCTCCGCTCCCAAACGGCTGCTTTCCCCTCTAGGGATGATTAGTGAATCGCCGGGTTCTGGGTCAATAGAGCTATCCAGGATTTACTGCCGCAGCACGAGGCGGGTAACGATGAAGCAAACACACGAGTTTGAAAATTTAGCAGATAAATACAAGGACTTCCAAGGAAGGGACGACATTTATCAAGTGACTTATCCCAACAAGAGAGTCAAAAAGTGCTCTTCCACTGCTTCTCCGTCACAGCAAAGAGACACTATGAATCTGAAGACAGCGTCTCCTCTCCCAGCAGCACCACCATCTGCGCTCTGAAGGTCTGTGTCTGTTGTGCTCTCACTAGCGTAAGCCCACGTGTCTCTTTGTATCGCCAGTGACCAGTGCTGTGCTCTAGATGTGCCAAGTCAGTGGGACATCCATAAACACTCTGTAAAAGGCACAGCTGAAAAAAAGGACCAAAGGACTCAGGACCAGATTTGGCTGATGGTGATCTTCAGTTAATCCACGCTTTAAAGAAACTTTGTGCAAATTTGCTAAAGCAAGAATGTAGCCCACAGTCAATAATCAATATTATTGAATATTTCCAAATTCAGTTTGAAATATTTAAATGAGATGCTAAAAATTCAAATAGGAAATAAAATTCAATTACTAGATCTAGGATGACACAGTTTCAGATAGATTATTTAGGAATTTATTTTGAAATTAGGGCTAGATTCTCCCCTTAATTTAACGGCGCTGCTGTAGATTGACGATGTGAATAGCAATGTAGGTGAAACGCAGCCCAAACTCTGGGTGGGTTTTTTGGATCTAATGCAGTTTTGGAATCTGACTGGGTTTTAAATGGTTGGCCCAGCTAATGGAAAGCAAGAAAAGAAACAGCAAAAGCTAAAACATATGACTGGATGTAGTGAATGAAAAATGAAAATAATCAATTAGCTTTGTACAATTCCCTATACTTAGCCCAATAGGAAAATTATAGTCCCTGTACGGGCTGATGTCTACTCACTGTATAATCGTGATTCATTTTGGCACAGTTCAACACCTTCGGAAACAGAAGCCAAGCCTGCAATGGGTTTGAAACAAGGTCCACGAAGAGGGAACCCCGTCCCAGTGCCAGCTCACACCAGTTTGGCTCTGAGCAGCGCCGAGCCCCCCACATGCTGGCACTGCAGGTGACACCAACACACGTCTATAGGGATGAGCCAGAGTATTGAACAATCACTCGCTGATCTGCTCCATTCTAAACCAAAAAAACCTGCTTATCTCATAAGACTGTTTACCCTCAGAATTTCTAACACGTTTATGGGTCATGGATGTCCTCAAAATAACCCAGATTTGCAGAAATTCCCTTCAAAAATGTCCTTACAAATGCTTAGAGACAATATTATATCCTGTGATTTCAGAAAGAGGAATCCTCACCCCAACAACAGACACAGCGGTGCATTTTCTAGTTTTCTAACTGATTTTCTTCTTCACAACCGTACCATGATACTGATAATCTACCATGCACCGACTTGTCTTGCTCGGGTCTTACAAACGAGAGAGATCCTATCTGTCAAAGCAACAGGTTGGATTTCT